ATACTAACATTCTCCTCCCACTGCACCTTCTTTTCCCCTCGCCCTTTCTTTGGTGCCCTCCAGAGCGCTTTATGAGCATCTGACAACTACTTATTCATTGTTTCGTGTTTTTTCCTCCACCCCCCACCCCTTCAGGGTAGACTTCGTGCAGATCTGGACTCCGTGGTTTGGATTTGTTTGCACGCCCCCATAGTGCCTTTCTGAGGGGACAGTAGCCACCAGAACCCATCTGTGCCCTTTGGCGTGCAACGTGGGGTCAAGTTGCAAAGCTCCTCCTTTGGGGACTTCTTGGGGGGGCGGTGTAGGATAGTCTCTTTCCAGAGATTTCCCCCTTTTGCCTGCATTCCAGGATCCTCAGATGGCTCTTCCAGACCTTAAAGCTGGAGGAACGGGGCTTTGTGAGTAAGGCTGAGCGAACCGATGTCGACAGAGGCTGGAGGCCGGAGTCCCTGGGCTGTTTGGATGCCACATTTTCTACCAAGTTTTTGTCAGCGGGCTAGAGGGACCAGTCCAGGAATCTGGCTAAACAAAGATTCCTCCTAGCTGGGTCCAGCTCTCTCATCATTTCCCTTTTTCTCTTTCTCCCTCCTTTCACCTGCCTCCCGAGACCCTCCCCCCTACCCCCTCCCCTCCATTTCCCGGGAAAATAAATCTCTGGGAGGAGGCGGGAGAGCGGGTCTCAGAGAGCCCTTCTGAATAAATGTCTATATTAATGAATTATTAACTCAGCCATCCATGACCTTAAACCTAGAAGCCCGAGCGCCGAGGGCAGACAGGAGAGCTGCTGAATCCTTTATTGGAGTCCTGTCAAAGGCAGCCGACCATTTGCTCCTCTCCTCCATCAGGAAAAAAATAATATGAAAGGCAAACTTTAAAATGGTATGTCAAACGAAATCAGATAGAGGGTCTCCCTGACCGAATCCTCTTTTTGTTTTCCTGCCCCTTCCTGCCCCTCCCGCCTGGCTCCGGCCTCCAGCTCCCTTCCCCTCCCCGCTCAGGGGGCAATGGGCTTCCCAAGGATAATTTTCCGGGGGGGAAAAATTGCTCGAGAAAATGATGAATTTGGGTAGTTAATTTATCGATCCCGGCTCCTCTTCCCACTTGTTTTATTTTAGAGGTCATTAATCAATGAAGAAAAACACTACCGTGTCCCCCCGTTTGCATTTAATACACTCACGCTCCTTATTTATTCCTCTGGAACAAATTCCCAGCAAATATTCGCCCATCGATTTGGGAGCGATGGATTTTTATAAAGGTTTGATCGCTTCCTAAGTGGTGCACGTGATTTGTTTCCGCGGTCTTCTTCCAAATAATGAAGAGGAGGGGAGCGGGTTTGAGGGGTGCCTGTCCTGGCGGCCGGTGGGCTCGCTTTCTAGGACCCCCGGGGACGAGACGTGCCGGGGAGGCGGCGAGCCCCGCGGGGCCCGGGGTCAGCTGGGTGGGTGGGCGGCGGCCTCCGCCGGCACTGAGCGCCCCGGGGGCCGCGGGTGGCGGGACCACGCGGACCTCGGCCGCAGCCCAGCCCCTCCGGCCTGGTCCGGGTGCGGGCAGCGCCCCCGCCCCGCGTCGTGGGCCCCCCCTGCGGAGGCGCTGGGGCACGCTCGGACTCCCGCCGCTCTCGCCGCCAGGCCTGGCCTTGCGCTCCTGCACGCCCGGGCCTTCTGAGCGCCCGCTCTTTCAGCCACCTCCTTCACGCAAGTTCTCTAAGGTCTTTGGACCCTAGGGTCCCGTCGCCCTGAGAGCCGCGTCCGGCCAGGGGCCAATGTGGGGGGAGGAGGGGAGGAAGGGGCTCGAACCTGATGAGTCAGGGACACCACACTCTGGCATAGTGACGGACTGAGGCTCCGTTGCAGTCTCTGCTTCACCCCCTAGACCCCCTACGGCAAGGGGAGCCAAACTCCCTCCAGGAACCCCGACACCCTTCTGGCGTCAGTCTGGAAGGTGAGCGGAGAGGTTGGACCAGGGTTGGCGGGAGAGCACACGTGGCGCCTCCTTGCCCGGGTTTCCAGCAATCAACAACAGCGTGACCTTAGGCAACCTATTTTCTGAGCCTCAGTGTCCCCATCTGTAACCTGGGGTTAATGATAATGCTTTCTCCGCAGGGCTGCTGGGCGGAATAAACGTAGTGGAGGCGCCTACCGGCGCCTGGCCAATCCGAAGCTCTCACGGACAGATCAGCTAATCTTACTGGGAAGGCAAACCCCCGGCTTCCCAGGGTGCGGGCGCCAGGAGGTCTTGGGAGCAGTTGCTGCAACCAGCGTCTGAAAATCTCGAGATTTTCGAGTGTGTTTGGGGGGGGGGGCGCGGTACGGGGAGGAGTTCTCTGAGAAGGCCAGGCCCCGGGGACCAAAGGCTCGTGCGCAGCCGGCTTGGCCCCAAACAAGAAGGCGGTGGGGACGTAGCCCGCAGCGTCCGGGCTCCCTTACCCCGTGCTCCCAGTCTCTCCCAGAGAACCAGCAAGGAACCAGGAGAGTGTGAGAAAGAGAGCTTGCCCCTTCTCCCGAGGCCCGACCGCGCCTCTTCGGCAGTTCTTCCAGCAAATTAACTGAAACGGGCCTGGAACTTCCTACTCTCCTCCCGATGGAGTTGTTCAAAGCCCGCGCAGATTGCTCGGTTAGCCTCGGGGCCCACAGCACGTGGGTTTTCCCTCGTGGTGTTGGCCTTAAACTTGGGTACCATCAATCTATCCAAGGAATGACGGATGACCTTGTCACAACGACGCCAGTCAAAACATTGTCGGTCCAACTCTGTTCCAACCAGCGTCGAGGCAATCCTGCGTGAGACCCGGACAAAGTCTAAACAGCGCGGTTCCCAGGCTCAGACGAAACGAGCGGTGGGAAGACAAAAAGAAACAAGCAGAAATCCGGAAAGAGTGGCTATCAATTGTTCGGAGTGGCGGGTGCTAAATAAGTTGGCTTGTTCGGGGGGAAAGACAAACGTCATTTCTTCTGAGTGTGGACAGAACTCCGGCTTTGGGAAAGCGCCTGAGCCGGGCAATTTCACACCCCCGGTCCGTGCCGCACCCCCACCGAGCTCGGCCAGGGCCTTGGAGGAGCTGCGGGGCCGAGGCCCAATGCGTGGATGTGAGACCGCGCAGGGAAGGGCAGCCGCGCGGCCCAAGTCACCTGGAGTGGGCAAGGTGGAGGTGGGGCTGCTCTCGCAGCCGGCACCTCCGACGCCAGGCTTGGGGCAAGAGCCTCCTACACGACCCCCCGGGGCAGCCCCTCGCAGTCAGGGCACACAAGCTTCGCCGGCGTCCGGGAGCAGTTTAACACAGCGTGACAGAGCTCGGGGTACTTGCCTCCGATGCCCACAAGGAGAAGGCGCGAGTTCCCCCAGAGACACAACCCGAGAGTGGGTGGGCTTAGCGCTCAGCCGCGTGAGACTCCGCCGCGGCCGCCTCCCCAGCTCCGCGGCCAGACTTGAGTCCCGCCAGGACTGGGCGCCCTTTAGAGACCCTCGGTCTCACGCCTCGCAGCTCACCAAAGCCTGCCTCCTCCGCTGCAGACTGAGGCTTTCCCACCCGTGCGCAACCCGCCCCGCGCCCGCCTCCCCACGCCAGGATTGCTGTGGGAAGCTGCGTGGCGGGCTAGTAGCCTCTGGCACCCAGCAGTACTCCCGGAAAAAACTGAGCCGGGCAAAAGCGCAAACACGGTACTGGGACTTGGTCCGCTCGCCGGTTGGGCGCGCCGGCTCCGATGCGGACCCCCGAGCGCGTGCGGAGATGCACTCCGGTTTCCGCGTTTCCACCGCTTTCAGGATCAGGGCCGTGAGCTGGCACCTAGAAAGACTTATCATGGGCAGAAAGAGACAACAGGCGAGCGGGAGACGTCACGCCAAAAAAGGGCGGGGGGCGGGGTGGGGGGGGGGGCCGAGGAGGTCTGTGTGCGGGAGAGGCGCACCAGCCGGGTGGGGACCCAGCCCAGTCAGAACTTCCTTCTTTCCCTCTCCCCTCCCCTTCGTTCTTCTGGCCTGCCTCCCGCCTCCCCCCACTCCCCACCTCTCTCTCTCTCTCTCTCTCTCCTTCTTTCTCTCTTTTTCTGTCTCTCGCCCTTCCCCTCCCTTTCCTCCCTTTTTCCCCCTCTCTCCGTCTGTCTCTCTGTCTCTCTCACTCTCACACACACACACACACGCACACACACTTGTATTTTGTGCTGTCGTAAAACCCACGTGTCCAGCCGGGAGGCTGCCAGAGCGTGGAGCTGAGGAAGCGGGACGCGGCGGCGGCCGAGCGCAGCAGCCCACCGCGGCTCCGATCCGCGCCCGGGCCGGCCCGCGCTCCCGCGCGCTCGGCCGGACTGCTCTAGCGCGCTCCGCCGTCCCCGGCGCCCATCGCTCGCGGCCCGGGAGGATTCCGGGCCGCCCGACCACATCTAGGGCTTTCCTCCCCCGCCGCGCAGGGGCATGTAGCGCACCCGGGACGCACACTCTCCCGCACGCTCACCGACACGCACGCACGCACGCACCCGCCGGCGGCTCCCGAGTTTCCAGGTAAGGCGAGGCTCGTCTAGGGCTGGGGGTCCGGGGCCCCCGGGGATGGGAGGCTGGAGGTCCCGGGCCGGGGGCGGGGGGCCGAGACTGTCCCGCCTCCTGGCGCCGGAGGCCAGCGCGGCTCCGGCGCTGCGCCACTCCGGCTCGGGTCGGCTCCGGGCTCCGGGCGCCGGTTGAGGGCGGGGGCTGCCTCCTGCCGCCGAGTTCTGCGGGCTGGCGCCCTCGCGCCGGCCTTCAGCTGTGCGGGGCGGGAGCTGGGGCGCCCCGGGCTGGAGGCAAGGCGGGGCGCACAGAGCTCCCTTCGCGCGGCGCCGCGGCTTCAGAGTAAACTTTGCGCCCCAGCGGAGTTGGAAAGAGGGAGCTGTGGCACCGGGCTGCCGCAGGCGGAGCCCGGGTCTCAGCTCTCGCTCCGGGGTCTGGGCGGCCAGCCTCCCTGCCCCTCTCGCGCCCGGCCCGGGGGCCCGGCTCACGCGCCCCCTCCCCTCTGCCCCCAGCTTGAGAGGTCGGACATGCTGAAGCCCGGAGAGCCCGGCGGCTCGGCCTTCCTCAAAGTGGACCCAGCCTATCTGCAGCACTGGCAGCAACTCTTCCCGCACGGCGGCAGCGGCGGCCCGCTCAAGGGCGGCGGCGCCGCGGGTCCCCTGGGCGCGCCGCAGCCTCTCCAGCCGCCGCCGCCGCCGCCGCCGCCCTCGGAGCGCGCAGAGCCTCCGCCGGACAGCTTGCGCCCGCGGCCCGCCTCGCTCTCCTCCGCCTCCTCCACTCCGGCGTCCTCCTCCACCTCGGCCTCCTCTGCCTCCTCCTGCGCCGCCGCGGCCGCCGCCGCTGCGCTGGCGGGTCTCTCGGCCCTGCCCGTGGCGCAGCTGCCGGTGTTCGCGCCTCTGGCCGCCGCCGCCGTCGCCGCGGAGCCGCTGCCCCCTAAGGACCTGTGCCTCGGCGCCGCGTCGGGCCCGGGGCCTTCCAAGTGCGGCGGCAGCGGCGGGGACGTGCGGGGCGGCCCGCGCTTCCGCTGCAGCGCGGAGGAGCTGGACTATTACCTGTACGGCCAGCAGCGCATGGAGATCATCCCGCTCAACCAGCACACCAGCGACCCCAACAACCGTACGTAGCCGCGGCCCGCGCGCGCTCTCCAGGGCCGCTGGCGCCGTCGAGCGCGGGCGCCCAGCCGGCAAGCGGGGCGGGTGAGCGGGACTCCGGGTGGTGGGCTGGTCCAGGCCGCGGCTTCGCACCTCCCGGACGACTGCGGCACAATTTTGTCAACGTTAGAGAAGGCGAGAGAACGGAGGGGAGGCCGGGTGGCACCTCACGGTTCCCCTTTTCTCCTCCCCTCGGTCCCTGCTTCGCAGCCCCGAGCGTTTAGACCCGAGCTGCTCGGGGACCGGGCGTACAGATCGCCCTCCCGCGGGACTGCGCCCGGGGCCGGGCGGGTACTAGCCGCGCACGCTGGGGGCTTGGCCTGGCCTCAGTGGGACTCGGGAGGGACCCTCAGCGTTTCTGGGGAGCGTGAGCTCCAGGGCTTGTGTCTCCTTCTCCTCCCTGCCTGACCTCTGGAGTTAACTACACCGGCTCGTTTTCGGGCCGCGGGGTTGTCAGGGGACGGGCCGAGAGCTGCGGGCTGACCGGGCCTCGCTGGAGTAGGAATTTTGGACGACACTGGGTCGCTCTCTCCCTACAGGCAGGCATTATTCTTAGGTCTTCTATTTATTTAGAAAAGGAGGAAAAGAAAAATTGCCAACTGCTTAATGAGAAAACGTTTCCCACTGCAGGGTAGGGTCGTTCCCTGCGGATCCCGCGTTCTCCGTGCACCCTTGATCGTGGAAACGTTCGCAGTCCTACCGTAGGCACGCTTGTTGCTTTACTTGTTTTTTAATGATTGTGACAGTAGTTTTTTTAAGTATTAGCAGAGTACTCTGCTTGTTGCCGAGTAAATGGCAAATGCCTAATTTAAAAATTAGGGAAATGCCTACTTACAGCCAGAAGGTCTCTTCTAGCTTCGATTCCTCTATTCAGAGTTTAAAAGGCTTCTCACAAGGACAAGCTCCCTTTTGAGGTCTTGCGACAAAAGGCTAAATGAAGACCAGGAATGTGTATTGCTGGCTACCCAGTTCTTTTGGGTAATATCAGAAGTTATGGTATGTTTACACCTAAGGCGTTGGTGCAAGTGCTCCGTATACTTCCAGAGATCTCTGGAGAGAATATTAAAAGTGAGGAGAGTCAGGTTTGAAAGCAACAGAGGATTTGAAAGATCAGCGCTCACTTGGCTCTTCTCGGCTCATTCCTTCGTTTGGTTTCTGCAGGAGGAAAAGTTGATGATAAACATGTATAATCATTCTATTTTGAATAAGCCCCTTCTTGCAGAATGTCTACCGCTCCATGAACTTCTTAATTCGTTGTAAAAGCAAAATAACTACAGGTTTTAGCTAAAGGACTCCCAGTGTCATTACTTTGATTAGAAAACACTAGACACAAGCCTAGTGATGGCGGTATTTCAGTCTTTTCATAAGGGGTGGGGATCGTTTTTCTGATGGAGATAATTATTACTAACAAAAAAGAGCAGTTGTATTTACCTTTTTCCTCTCCAGAATTTGAGGGTAAAGTACTGGTTTAAAATGAGGGTTTCACCTCGAATTTGCCTTGCCGTTAAGAAGAGGTTTGTATTTCGGAGCTTTAGAAAATTTGATAAAATTATGTTGTCCTAATGGATTTAAAAAAAAAAACTTCTCTTCCTCCTGAATTTCTTGCGTGTGTGGTTTTCAAAAACAGTTCTTAAAAAAATGTGAATTAAAAAGGCAAGAAATGCTTTGGAAAAGACAGTTCTCAGTGCCAAGTGATATATAGGCACTGTGGGCTGAGAGTGCCTCATCAAACTTGCAGTTTCTCTTCTGAATTAAATGAGTGTTGGAAAAGTTGCCAGCAGCAGCACCCCAAAGCCCTGGCTGTGCCCTGAGCTCTTGTTCACAATGCAGTCTTGAGGTTCAGTGCATTTTCACCAGAGGAAAACCTAGATTAATCTGAGAAAGAATTGGGATAGATTGCTAATTAGTATGTGGCTCTCGAGCCAGCTTATCATCCAGGTAACGTTTTCCTCTGGCCGGAGGAAATGAATTATGATTTATTTAAATTATTCCCATTGTGTTAATCTTCTGGTATCTCCTTTTGAGTCAACTGGACTGCTTCCCTGTGCAAAGGGCAGGGGAGACCACAGAAGGCAAAGAAAGGCAGATTGTCTTATTAGAGGTTGCACTTCACGTTGTTGCCTAATTAAAGGGCCTTTGAGAAAGAAAATGGAAAGCTGAGGTAGCTTTGTGTAATGCTGGCCAGCCGGGCCTGCCATCCTTCCAGAAACTTCTCTGGGCCAGAGCACATACTCATTGGAAACCTTGGGATGTGTTTTGCAAAGATGGAGTGAGACGTGATTGGGTTTAATCTAATGAGGTGGTCAAAACAAAACAGAAATGCAAAGGGCGGGAAACTTTTGGTCCCCCCTGGGTGGGGGGAGTTGGTCTGTTACTTGAAAGGTGGTGAACACCAGAGCTGCTCCCCATTCCCAGGTTGTATGCCGGTAGGGGTGGCGTGGGGTGGGGTGGGAGGCTGCCCAGACGGGAAGCATCTATTAATTTTTACCCCCTGCACACATTTTCCTACTTTTCTTTTAGGTTCTTGCCACCTCCCTGTAAAAGCGTTCTGTGCAGTGACCAGTCAGCATTGCTTCATTTTATTACTTTGTATTTAAAAGGGTGTTGAGTCATTTTCTTTTTCTCTTACAAGGCAAAGAAAGGGACCCCCTTACTTGTTTTCCCTTTAGAAGAGTCCCTCTTTGCTTGGGAGCAACAACCCGGTAACACGTGTGAATCATTAACACCCGCTGCACCTTGAAACTTTATTGGCATCCTTTGGCAAAGGCCACAGTGAAGGCAAAGCGGAGGGTCCTGTAGCTTTCTTTCACACCAAAAGACTTAAAAACAGCAAACACTGTATATGCGGGGCAGGGTGACCTCTTCCAATATATTTCTCTTATCTGTGTGGGTTCATTTATTCCACCATTGAAGTACACTTTCCTCTGACTCTCTGAATGCTTATTTGCCTCTTCTCACCTCCCTAACACCGGTGGGCGGTTTGTAACAGAAACGGAGGATGGGGCCTTTCTTCCGCGTCTTGTGTTACTGGCCGCACACATTTGCTGCTGGTTGCCTAAAGCCATTGATTACGTCAGGCTCCTCCGCGGCAGCCCCTTCTCGGCCTCTGGGAGCTGGTGCCTCACTTGAGACCCTGTCACTCTTCCTGGAAGGTAGCGAAAGGCGGCCACAGGGCGCCCCTGGTGTTTGTACCAATGATACCGGGCAGTGTTTCGGGGCCGGCCCCATTACCTTTTAAGACCTTTCAGGGAAGGTGTTCCTTTTGGATATCTGGGAGGGGGTTGGCAGCTAAGTCCTCTGGGAGGGGGGGTGGTCTCTCCACGTGGAATCCGGACGCTTTGCAACTTCCCCAGCGGGAGGTCTCTGCCTCCTTCCGTTTTGGGGGAACCCTGCCGCGCAAGGAACAGTGCTGGGAACAGCACTGGCAGGTGCTCAGGTGTGGGAGTTGGAGCGAGGCTTTTCTACTGGTAGCGCCACCCTTTCCGAAGACTGGGGAGAGGGGCTGTGGGAGAGGAGGAGATCTGGGGTTTGTCCAGTTGAGCAGTTAGAGCGAGCGCTAAAAGGAGGGTGAGTGTTTTCTGACCTTCCCCAGTCTCCTCCCACCCCGTTGGGAAACGCAGGTCCTGTTTCCGGGAGCTCCCGAGCCCAGCAACCCCGCAGTGGGGTCTTCCTGCCACCGAGGCCCAGGCTCCGCTCCTCCCGCCCAGCGTCCCCGCTGTCAGCCGCCAGCGACTTAGATTTCAGACCTGGTGTCTGGTGGGAGGGAGGCTCGCGGAGTCAGTGTGTGGGCTTTTGTGTTGTTCTATTTTTCTTTTTCTCTTTTCTCTCTTTTTGTGTGCAGGCCCAGCCCCATCCCGTAACACACATGATTTAGCTATTTTACATCATTCGTTATCTAGCGCCCTGAAACTGAACATAGAGCCATATATTAGATCGAGGTTAGAAGAGGTGGCGACTGTTTATTTAAGGTGATAAAATGGTCCATCAGCAGTAATCTCCATCGATATGTGCCACCAGGAGATGAAGGATGAGGGGACAAGCCACAATTAATTGCCCTATAGTTTTGTATGAGAGAGTGGAGCCAGCCCGGGCCCGCTTCGATTTCCTCGCCCCCCTATTCATCATCTTCGCATTGTATATGGCGGCCTCGCAGGGGCAGGGGCCGGCCAGGTTGATCTCGGCGCAATATTCTCTCGCCCGCACACCCTGGCGCTCCCATTTAATTTATTAATACAGTCATCGGAAGACACACAAAATCCACATTGCGGCCCCCCTTTCTTTCCCTCCCCTTTTGTCTCCCGCTCCTGGTCCAAGCCGGCAGCCGGGAGGAGCGGGGGAAGCCCAGCGCGTGTGCGATTCGCGGGGAGCTTTAAACTCCCCTAAGAGAGAGTCCTCCACAAGGTTCCGCGCGCCCACGGTCGGCTCCCTTTCCCAGTGGCCGGGCTAGCCTGCCTCGCCTTCTGGACATGCCTCCGAAGCCTCTCCGGGGAGTCTGAAAGACCCCAGCGGGGTGGGGTTGGGGAGGCGCAGCAGGCAGGGGCCGAGGCCTTCAAGGTTCAGACTTGGGTGCGGGGCCTCCGGCGGGCCTGGGCCTGGCCTTCCGCCCCATGCAGTCTAGCGGCTGGCTCGCGAGGGCTGAGTGTCGGCTGGAGGCCCGGGGGCGTGCACCCCAGTGTGGGAGGCTCGGGCCGCGGCGCTCTGCCCCCCCCTCCAACCCCGACCCCGACCCCGTCTCGGGACCCCGGCCACCCCGCGCCCGCGCTCGGAGCGCGCACGCCGTTGCCAGCAGGCGGCACTCCCCGGGCGCCTCGCCGGCCGGGATCGATAGCCGCCCGTCCCGCCGGGCTCGGCCTGCGGGACTGGGGGCCGCGACCTCCCTAGCGGTCGGGGAGGATTTATAGCTTAGCTGTTACTGCCGCCCCGGCGGAGAGGCAGGCTTCTCAGCTGCTCCTCGGTTTCCCTTCCAGAGGATGAGTGAGGGCAGGCGGAGGAGGCCGGGAGGCGTCGGGGAGCCCAGGTCTAGTGTGGTGGGGGCTTCCCGCGGGCCCTGGCTCCTCCGGGGCCCACACGCGTCCGTCAGCCTCCCCAGACAGCCAAAAAGGCCTGAAACGTTTTAAATTGCACCTTTCCTAGAACGCGAAATGAAACACCAAGAAAGAAAACCGTGGCCTGCTTTGCCCCCTTTACCTTCAAATAGGTCCGTTTTCAATTGCAAAAGTAGGGCATGTACTTGGAAAAATATTCAAACAGTGCACAAGGATATGACTTCTGCTCTTCGTTACACTTGGCCTGGCCTTCCGAAGTCAGGTGAATAAGTCTGTAACCTAGTGATACCTCCTTCTCTCATTCAGGGACGCATAAACAGGAGCACGGACAGATCTACTCAGGATAGAGGAGGGACCATGATCTCTCATACCGCCTAATGCTGAACTGGCATTCCAAAGTATCTGGCTTGGAGAATCCGATGATATTTCTCACAGATACAGAAAACACTTTACAGATAAAAATCATGGATTTAGAGAAAATTACCCGGATTTTAGGATAATCTAAGAACGTTTATTTGCTTACACTTTATGAATACAAATAGACTTGTGTTATGTACTGCTGGGCGTGGAATGCTGTACGTAATGTACGTGTTGAATACATTTTGGAGGGGTGCAGTTTGTGCATCTAGCCAGCTTCTCCCTCGGACCTTCTCTTGGAGGTGTTTATGGCCCCTCTCTAGAAAACACTCTGTTAGTTTGTTTGTCTAACTCTGCCACTTTTCTCAACCCCTGAGTAATAACTTACTTGTTTTAAGCATCTTCAAGCTCCTCTGGGACCCTGAGACGTAGAGTCAGAGGCCAGTTATTTTCAATGGCAGAGGTTTCATGTATTAAAAAACATCAAGATAGAACATGGATCTGGATGTAATTGGTCAACTTCTCCAGCAGAATATTTTGCTAGAGGCACGAGGTGGTTTATCAGTTAAGACTCATGTAATTAAAGTGTATTGGCCTCCCTTCGTTGCTGCTGTGGACTCCAGGCACAGGTACTCTTCTACATAGTGGGAGAAATTCAGCTTTTTCTTCGGCAAAATGTCACTTCAGTTTTTCAACACTGCTGGAGACAACTGAAACTTAGCAGGCAGACGAGAGTTTTAGAGGACTTCTTAGAGAAAGGGCTAGCCATGGTTTCATCCTGCGTAACAAATATGGGGAGTGTGTTTGCTGTCTGTGGGGGTGGTGGCTGGAGTTGGTACTTTTCCTCCTTATTTTATTACTGATGTAGTTGGGCTGATAGTGCATGGTGTGGAGATGTGGCAAGTTGACAGGATCTCTGGTGCAGACGGGTAGGGAGTGAATACCAGATGCTCTTGCTTCTCACCCTAGGCCTTGTGGAGCCAACCAGAAAGGGAAAGTGGGTTAAGCAGCTCCTTGGAGTGATGTGATTTTTATTTTTACGGGGCATATTGCCTTTGCTTACTGTCGTTTGTTTTAAGCTGCTTTTGCTAAGGTGCGCTGAAAGGTCATCTCTGAGGTCAGACGCTAACGTTCAGAATTATGGACCTCATCTCTTCACTTTCGAATACATTTAACCGCCCCAAACCCCAGAGTATGGGAGAGAGATACAGAAAGCTCTGTAATTCACTGACGCTAGAGCAATTTTTGTGGCCCCTGAATAGTGCTTTCAGTGAAATACTGCAATTCTGTTGATAATGAGTGCGGGTATAAAATCTCCCAGCTTTCATTAGTCTCCCTAGATCTTTAGATTTGGAGGCTTTGAAGTCAGGCAAACCTGACTGTGAATCTTTCTCTACCACTTTCTAGTTTCTGATCCTCGGACTAGTTACGTTGCCCGTGAAGCCTCAAATTGCCTCATCTGCAAAATGGGGATCATGATGTGGTGATTATTTGATTCATGAGAGGTGTCTGGAACAATGGAGGCACTGGGTGACTATGAGTTTCTATCATCTTTCTTTCCCTTCTCCCCTTTGTCTTGAACTTGTCATTTTCACAGTCAGAAGCTTGAGAGGATGTGTGAAGCGGATCCAGAAGGGGTGACATACGGTAAGGGTAGGAATACTTTCCATCTAGGCCCCACAATCAAAAGCAGAGCCTGAGGCAGTATTTACATCAGTTGGTGTTACTGGGAGAGGGGGCTTTTGTGTGGTGGAGGTCCAGAGGCTTGGGCACTTCCCCACCTGTAGAAACAGGTTGTCGCTTTTCACTTGGAGGGCCTGGGGACCCCTCCGAGAAGCTGCAGTCAGAGGGTCCTGCCATTTCCTGGGCTCTCTTGGGAGGAGTGCGGGGAGTAGTGGACTGGGGGGAAGGCAGGGCCAGCTGGAGCCCTCCTCCTCTGAGCAAAGATGAAATAAATGGCGAAACCAGGGTTCCCCCACCAGGGCTGGGTTGCCTTAGGAGTTCCTTCCTTGAAGATTCCTCAGTGACTCCTTTTGCCAAAAGTTACCTAGACTTTCCTCTGTCTTAGCAAGGATGGGGCACCCTTAGAGCGAGCCCCCAGGCCTGGCAGCGCCCAAAGCCAGGTGCAGGTGCTAGGAGGCTCTGAGGGCGGCCCAGCGCTGGTGCATCCACCGGTGCCCCAGCTCCCACCGTCCGTCAGTCCGTCTGTAGTCGCCTGCCGTCATGCTCGGTGCCACAGGGCTCCGTTGCTTTGGGGGGGGGCGCTCCCCTGGGAGGCTGGGCCGGGGAAGTGGGGTTGTGTTGGCGGGCGGGCGCCGAGGCTGCCTCCCTGAGGCAGGTCTGCAGGGCCGGGGCGCAGACACCGCGGCTCCGCCAGGCCCATTAATAACCCGGAGGGCGCTGCGATCCGACAGCACGGTCGCCACAGGCCCTGCTTCCCGCGGCCGCCTGGCCTTTTCCCATTCAGTTCGAGGTGAGGGACCCAGGGCATCCACAGCCACCCGACCCAGAGGGAGGGTGAGGATCCCCTTGCGCTGCAGGCTCCTCTGGGGAACGTTGGAGCAGGAGCCTTGTTCGCAACACTCCTCTGAGAATCACATGCAGCCTTGGGGATCACCGTCTGGGCAGGAGTTGGGGCCCTCTCCACTGAACCATTACCCCATCCTTAAATTTGCGATTTATTCCTTTTTGGCTTCTGGGAAGAGCTTGCACTCCAGCACAGGCACTCCACACCTGCCAGAACAGTCCCCCTTTCTCCACCCGAACCCCTCTGGCTGGAGTGGCCAGAGCGGGCACCGTCAGGGACCCCAGCACCAGGGCGCCCTCAGAGGCCGGTGTCTGGGGTTGCGGTGCCACGGGGGGGGGGGGCGGGCAGGGAGGCAAGGCCGGTGTGGCGCTCCGGTCCGGGCACCCCGGGTGGGTAGGTTCCTGCGGGTAGGGAGGGCGCTCTGTGCTGGAAGGGTCCCCCGCCTGCCCCGGTGATTTTAGAAGGATCTTCTAGAATTGCAGACACAGGTAAACCAACTATAACCAGGGGACCAAAGTAGAATATCTCGAGACAGAAGGCTGAGCAAGAGCTGGGGGCTCTTTTCCCGGCCCAGTGAGCAACACACCTGCAAACACCTGGTAGCTGAGGACTCCTAGGAACAGGGAAGAGGGGCAGAGGAAACTAGAGAAAGAAGGGAAGAGGGAGAGAGAGACACACACCTCAAGGAGTAGAAGCCAGGCGGGGGTTCTTCAGAGACAGCCGCGCCGGCCACCCCCAGCTCGCCAGGCTTATGGGGCGCCCGGGGGCTCGATCCTTCCAGGCCAATTTGGGTGCGACGATTTCCAAGGGAGAGGCGCAGATTTACCTCTCCCCCCCCATTCCCAGTGGCCTCGGTGGCCTGAAGGTGTCCCCTCCCCGGCAGGTGGCTTACGCAGGAGGGGATGATCGAGTTGTCTCGGGGCTCTTCTCCACTGAGGATGGGCCGCCTTGAGCGGCGAGTTAACCTTCTTCCTTCCCTCCCTCCCGCCTGTCTCCGGCAGGTTGCGACATGTGCGCGGACAACCGCAACGGTGAGTGTCCCATGCACGGGCCACTGCACTCGCTGCGCCGGCTTGTGGGCACCAGCAGCACCGCGGCCGCCGCGCCCCCGCCCGAGCTGCCCGAGTGGCTTCGGGACCTGCCACGGGAGGTGTGCCTGTGCACCAGCACCGTGCCCGGCCTGGCCTACGGCATCTGTGCGGCGCAGAGGATCCAGCAGGGCACCTGGATTGGGCCCTTCCAGGGCGTACTCCTGCCCCCGGAGAAGGTGCAGGCCGGCGCCGTGAGGAACACGCAGCATCTCTGGGAGGTAAGTCCCTCGCGGCCCAGCACCTTGCCAACCATTTGGAGCTTTGGCCGGCAAAGAGCCTGGCCCTTGGCGGGGTGGGGGGTCAGCTTTGGGGAGAGCCTCCCTTGTTCTCCAGAGCGGAGTGGAGGAGAGATTTCTCTGGTCATGCAAATGCCAGGTGTCTGCAGCACCTGCAGTAAAGAGGTGCAGGCTTTGGCCTGGCCCAGCAGCAACCCAGCCAGGCAGACAGGCCCTACAGGTTTCTGAAGATGGGATGCCCTTAGCAAGCCTCTGTTCCTGCTGGGATGGATTTGACTGTTGGTCTCCCTGGGTCTTGAGAGAAAGAAAAGCTAGCCGAGGTGATAGAGCAGAGGAGGCTGGGGCAGTGGGGTGTGAGCTCGATGAATTTTGTGTCCCATTCTGAGCTCTTCCAGGATGGTTTTGGGCACTGGGCAAGAAGGAACATAAACATAAACAGGAGGAAGAGGGTCAGGCTCCTTTTCTCAGATGAAAACAATTTTCTTAACGCTGAACTTGAGAGACTGGGGCATGTTTCTTAACTTTCAGAGCGTCCCAAGTAAGCAGATTACATCGTGAATCAAAAATCACAAATTCTGCTTCTTCTCTGGCAAAGTACAATCATGCAGTCTTCCCCAAGACAGAAAATCAAAACATAGGAAAACTCAGAGCACTTTGATATCACCCAGTTAATGATATTACTTTAGTGGCACAATCTTATCTCATGCTATTATTTAAAAATAAGCCATGTATTTGAAAAATGTTAATCTGAGATTTCTCCCAAAGTTTTATGGTTGATTATTGAGATCCAGTTCTGAAGAGGCAGATTCTTAGCCATAAGTAATCCCCCCCCCCCACCCCCGCCCAACCAGCTTTAGCCACCTCTCACCCTTGGAGTGATTTCTGAAATACAAGATGGTAGAAGTCTTATCCTTAGGGCCATATATAAATCTCATTGAGGCCAGGCAATACAATGGAGTAGAAGTAGCCAGAAAAGAAAGTCTCTGAAGAGCCAGCAGCCAAGTTGGCATGGACTTTAAGGCTCCACTAATGGGTCATTTCTACCATACCTTGTCTCATCCACTTGGTTCCGTGGCCTGTCAGGATGGGCATGCAGGCTGTGAGCTGCCTCCTAGCCACTAACTAAAACTCGTGGGACTCAGTAATCCACTCAGATTTTTGCTGAGCACTCTGGCCAGCACTATCTTAGGCCCTGGAGACATAGTGTTGTGAAAAACAAACCTGGTCTCCACAGCCGTTCCATGAGGGTTGGCAGGGGGCGCTGGGGCCTGTGCCGGTAAAACCTCCTCTGTTGGGGGAGGAGCTAAGCGAATGAGCTTACAGCCCTCAAGCCCAAGATGGCCACATGGCAGCCATGGGCTGCGCACCCCACAGTTATCTGCTGGGGCACGGTGCCCAGGCTCCCAGGTTCCATTTCGCTCCTAAATTGGAAAAGACAGTGACACATTCTTAATCATTCAGCATAGGATTCTTGAGCGAGGGAGAAAATGTTGGGCGTATTTATGTCACCTTTTTTTTTTTAAACAGAATTTTTTATAGGAAAACAGGACGGGAGAAAATGGCTCCGTACATAGAGCCAGGTTAGAAGTTAGAGCTTTTTGGATTGGAAAAACTGACAAGTGGGAAATAATCAAAGCATCTGGTTTTGAAATATTTCCCAGTTGGTTTTTGTTTCTTACTAATTAGTTGTAACCTCCAGTGCGGTTTAAAGTTTATAAAACACTTCCAGGCACTTTTCATGTTCCAGTAGTGTTATTGGGAGCTCTGATACACTACAGTTAAAGGTCTGCCAGTCCTTTTCGGAGGAGATGGTAAAGCAATTGTTCAGTGGTACAGATTTGCTCCATCTGCAAATGTTAAAATTGAACACTGTCATCTTGCCCTCTGATGCCCTAGGTTTGGAATTCATCTATTTTTTAGAGTGCCAGGGGACAAAGCCATAAACATGAAAACAAAAACAAAAACCCATAGTTCATTGTTTTGCTTTGTTTTGTTTTAAAGGATTTGGATATGATTGGGATGTTGGCCAGAGATCACTACACATATAGACTATAATGATACATATTAATATTGAAAACTCTGGAGCCTTCCTTTTGTGCCTTTCCTCGTACTTGATTAAATTAAAATTCTGTTGAAATGAGGAGAGAGGGAATTGAGCGATGTTGATACCTCAGTGGATAGGAAGTGTGTCTTACCTGTTGTTTTAGGTACGTGAGTTGGTCTGTGTTAGAAAGAAGGCTTGCTGGGTATAGGCATGCTTGAATGATCTCCAGATCCCTCCTTCTGAATTCAGAACATGATCTATTTATTTTTTTTATTTTTTATAATTTTTTATTGTTATGTTAATCACCACACATTACATCATTAGTTTTTGATGATCTATTTATTTTTATCATCTGTAAGAACAGTTAGAATAAGCAAACATTTCGGGGATTGAGGGGATGTTAAAACTGCAGCTGTGCAAAATGTATCAGTCTCCTGGGAGATCCTATAAAATGTGACAGAGTGGGGCCAGGTAACTTAGTGTCAGTGCCCATTTGTAAGAAAAAACACTTACTCTAATAGGTGTCAGGTTTTTATTAGTATGATTATTCTTAAGCTATGAAGTCTGAGTTTATTTTGAAGTTTAAGCATTAAGATTTTTTTTTAATGAAACGTGACGATTAGAATTTAGTTCACTTTATAACAGGAGATTCTAAGTGTCAGAGTGTTCCTTAACTGTTAGTCTTTGCTTTCAAACCTGAATTCTCTTGTGAAAAAATTGTCATCATCATATTCTTCCTATTAGGAAAGATTCCGTGATTGGAATACACAGTAGATCTAGGGAACTTTTGGCACTAATTGTTTAATGACTCACGTAATAATTACCTGTTTAAAAAACACATTCTTTTAGACATCTTCCAGAATAGCAGGTCGACATAAAGCAGATCTTTAAAAACTTAAAAGCGGTTGAATCATTACCATTGTCTCTCTTCCTCACGTTTTTTCAAGTCACTTGCTGATGAAGAAATGTCTTTATATTTAGAGTTCAATACTCAGGGCCTGACGGATCTTACCGGCGTTACTTATCTTTATTTCAGTACAATAAATGGATTGCTAATCTTTTCCCGTCACTGTTTCCAAGTAGATGATGGATTTTTGTTTCAGTTTACAGTTCATTGTTTTTAGTACGGCTGTACTTTATTATACACATGAAGGCTTATTACAGAAGCAATCAGATTCACCTTAGTTCCTGCTTTTGTTTAATCATTAAAAGCTCTATTTTCTTTTGTAGAAAATGACTTTTTAATATTTAACATACATCAGCCATGGAGAGCTTATTTGATTGTTTTGTCAGTGTGCTGTCGTCTTTTAGTTAATATTTTCTTTGTACTAATCCTGGTTCTTAAAAATATAGCAATTTAAAGAAAGTTCAATATCATTCCATTACCTTCAATATATTTTGGCTCTCTGGGGGTATCCGTGGGAAATTCTAAGAGTTTTTCTTTTTCTTTTTTCTCTTTTTTAAAGCCAGAAACCCAGGTGATTTTTTTTGTAATTTAAGGAGATTAACAAACTAAAAGCCAAATTACTCGTCTTTTTTTTTTGTCAGTTTCTTTTAGAATCCGATTTTAATGTGTTTTACAAAAAATAATAAATTCACAGAGTTTAAGACAAAAACATGACAGGATGGATTAAACAATCACTCGCTTTTCTTATATACATTTATTCCAGCAAGACTTGGATGCATGGTATTTTCTAGCTATTTGGCCATAATGAGAAAAATCTTTCTGAATGTTTTGCAAAGAAAACATAGTCTTTCTCAGCAATTAGGTCTTATTGATGAGAGTGAGATAATTTTGTTCTAATGTGTTTTCTAATAAAGACGTGAAAAGGCACGTTTGATTTCAACATTTATGAAAACATTTTCTCAATTATTAATGTGCCCTTTTTCCCTTGAGATAAATTAATCTAGTTGCACATGGTTTCCCCTTTCTGCTTAACATCAGAATTTAATATGACTGGACCTGAGGAATGTACATCGTGTAAACTTAAAATTCTATTGGATATAAAATATGGAAATTTAAAATAAAGTTACAGTTTAAGATAGGCCAGAATTACCCAGGCCTTTCAAATCAGAGTCTGATTTGACAGGAAATTTTAGTGACAATGACAAAATAAATCGCACTTGTTTTCACCCTAGAAAAATTATGCTGCTAATTGAAATAATGTAGTGACTTGTTAGGATTACAGTCAAGGTAATAGGAAGGGCTTTGATTTCATAGAATCTGTCTTTGCCTCAGTAAATTTGAGTGTCTCGTTTTCATTTACACTATGTGAAAACCTTCATTATTTTTCTTCAGAAAACCAAGGGGGATAACATAATGTGGGGCAGGTTTTTGTGTGTGTGTGTGTGTGTGTGTGTGTGTGTGGTTTGATTTTATGCCATAATATTTTAGATTTAATAAGAGATTTGCTTTTAAGCAAATGGTCGATTTTTCATCATTACCACTTAGCTTAGGTCAAAAGACATTGATGAAACCAATATTAAAAATATATTACACGTTGCTAAATGTTTATATTTCAAAACCATCACCGGCAATTGGTACTTGAAGGAAATGAATTGGCTTCATATTTTAAATGCATTACTTATGTTTTTTACCATCACCCGATTCCTCGTATAGTACTCTACTCATTTGTATATATATTTAGATGTTGAAAAAATAATGTAAATTAATCATTTAAAATTATAATCACTTAAAAGTTTGATGGAAATCATTTTAAAATTGTTCCAGTGATAGTATTATAATTACATAGTCCATAGTTTTGCTTTATAGACTTCGGCTCATTGGGCCTGATTCACCAAAGCACAAGGGGATAGAATTAAGTGGCTGTTCCCAGTTATATTGAAGTAGAAATTGTGCTTCCTAGTAATTTATCATTTCATGTAATAGACTGCTTGTCAGCGTGGTTTTGAATATGTCCATTTCATGAACTCCAAA